CATATTTAGTATAAAATATCAGAGATGAACGCAATAACTATCAGTAAAGTTTCCAAGTCTTTAGGAAAGCTGAATCAATCCTGCTTAGATTCAATTGTTTTTCCTACTTTCGCTTTTCTCTTCTTTTTTAGTAATCTTTTTTTCCACTCTTGGTAAACCAGAAATTACTTTCGCCCTTGAATACTACTGTCATAAGAGATACGGTAGATTAGACAAATTTTTCGGATAATCAGCTGAGTCTGTTTTGGTTGTTATTGAGTGAAAAAAAGGTGCATATAGTTAGCGATAGTGGAAAGGAAGAAGAGTGATGAAAATGGATTAAAACGACGATGGATATTAAGGTTAGGGTAAATTTTCTGGTTTCCAGGATTTGTATTCAAGATGTTAATTCGTACTTGCTGTTTTCGGGCATCTTTATCTTTTTGGGTATCAGCGAATTTAACAACCAAAGACGAAGAACAGCCTTCCATTGTTTGACTGTGATTCATTGCTCTAATAGCATTAACTGCACATTGTCGTGAGGTAAAGGTTACGAAAGCACAGCCTGTGAAAGATAAAGAAAAGGAATATTTAACATTAATTTAAAAGCTAGCAAGTTAGATTGTTTAATTAAAAGCAGTTTTTGTCAACATCATTACTATCATCATGAAATTAGATTAGAGACATTGTAGAAAGTGAAATGGTTCATGTATATCATGATCAATAGATAACAATTGGCATTAACTTGAAACTGTTTTAAATTAGATTAAAATTGAGATAGAATTTGGGTTAAAAATTACCTTTACTGAGCCCATTAGCATCTCTAAGAACTGTGCACTCTTCAATGATTCCATAAGGAGCAAACATGAGTTTGACCTCAGTTTCTGAATACTTTTTTGATAACATACCGATGAAAAGTTTTCTTTCATTACGGTTCTCACTATCAGCTGGTTTCATTTGGATGGGATGATGCATTCCAGGCAATGTTTTAATATTATGGAGAGCATTTTGAGCGTCAAGAGCTGACTTTCTCGAAAAAAAAGTAACAAAACAACAGCCCCGACTGAGTCCAGAGGATTTATCTTTGAGTACATTTAAGGAATAAATTTCACCAAATTCTTCAAAAAGAGCTCGGCATTCAGCCTCAGACCAATCCCTTGGAATCTGTCCAACAAACATCTTAATGGTATTGGGGTCCGGTTCACGGTGATTGGTGCTCGGGGTAACACATGATGATGGAGGAGATACTGAAAGGTGGTTGTTCCCTGTTGAGTTGGATCCGTTTACGGTAAGCCCGCAGCCACCGGAGACGGTGATGATCCCGATGAGTTAGGAGGACTTGAGTTACTGGTGCCGGTCATACTACTCATACTTCTACTTTGCCTTCTTCTCATATCTCTCTCGTCAGATGATGATGA